ACGGCACTTAACAACAACAACAACAGTACTGTGCTAGGTCTAGGTTGGCACATATAGCTCACTAAGGGATTGTTAGAGATCTAGGAAATTTGAAAGTCAGATAGTGAATTATTGGTAGCCTGAAATCAGTCATGGCAGGAGTATTTGCACCAAAGTAATCAGAAACTTTATAAAGCAGGTACTCTCCTCCTTGGTGAGCTGGTTTACTAGCACACTGCTGGCAAAGATCCTGTCTTATTCTTTTCAATTCAGTGCTTAGCAGCCATTAGATGATCAAAATTTGATGAGTGAAAACATGAATGAATGAACGAATGAGACTGTTTCTGATTCCCAGAGTACCACTCTTGCATGATGATCTCCATCTCTCCTTGTTCCTGTAGCTTCCTCATAGGCCAAGATGGCGCCATCTATGAAGGGACAGGCTGGAATGTCCAAGGCTCCCACACTACTGGTTACAATGATATTGCCCTGGGCATTGCCTTTATGGGCACCTTCACAGGTCAGTAGATGCTGTAGGAAGCATGGGTTTGAGATAGAGTTTCTGAGAGACATGAAAGATGAAGGCATCAGATACATGGATCATTTTAGTGTCTACCTATGCAGAATTTACCCAGCTTCAACTTGACATGTAACTGAATGTGACCAGAGGTGATCCTCAGATGAGTGCATGCCCTAAACCTACCTCTTTCACATGTCTCTTTCTTCTCATACTCGAGGTACACCTGAGCAAACAGACATGATCTTTGTGCATATTTTTAGCTAGGCCAGCGAATGCAATACTCTTTTGGTTACCATAGTGACAATTTGAGGACCCTCTGCCTTATATGTCAAATTCATGAATGGCCTCTCTCTCTGCACACTGTGAATTGTCATTGCCCAGAGTTCTTGTCTTGGGTTTGTTTAGCTGCAGGAGGCTTTTACTGACCCTTTGGGAAGAGGAGGTTGTGTCACTGGAGCGAGTTCAGGCTGATACTAAAAAGAGCGTTGAGTTGGTGTGTTTGTGTGTGTGTGTGTGTGTATGTGTTCATGTGCGAGAGACCCAGAAACGTTGCTGTTAGGTGCCCTATGCCAACCACATAATTGTTGCTACATTTGAGCCTGTTGTTGCTGTCACTATGCCAGTGCATCTCAGTGGGGTCTTCCTCTTTTTCTCTGACCCTCCACTTTACCAAACATGATATCCATTTCCAGGGACTGGTCCCTCCTGACAATATGTCCGAAATATGAGAGATGAAGTCTGGCCATTCTGGCTTCCAGGGAGCATTCTGGCTGTATTTCTTCCAACACAGATTTTTTTGTTCTTCTGGAAGCCCATAGTACTTTTAATATAATCCTCCAACACTGTAGCTCAAAGCATCAATTCTTCTCCTGTCTTCCTTTTTCATTGCCCAACTTTTACATGCATATGAGGTTATTGAAAATATCATGGCTTGGGTCAGGCGCACCTTAGTCCTAAAACTGACATCTTTGCTCTTGGACACTTTAAAGAGGTCTGGTGCAGTAGATTTGCCTAAAGCAATATGTTGTTGGATTTCTTACCTGCTGCTTCCGTAAGTGCTGGTGGTTGATCTGAGCTGTGTTTTGCAGGTACCCTGCCAAATGCTGCAGCGCTGGGGGCCGCCCAGAGTCTGATCCAGTGTGCCATGGACAAGGGGTATTTGACTCCCAACTACCTCCTAGTGGGTCAGAGTGATGTTGAGAACACCTTGTCTCCTGGAGAGGCTTTGTACAATACCATCAGCACCTGGCCTCATTTCAAGCACTGAGAGAGGCCCCTGGTACCAGGACTCCTTTTATATACATCAGAATACCAAGTTTTCACTATTAATTCTGTTAACAAACACAACTGAATCTTATAACCCATAAGCATCTCCTTCCACCTTCTCTTACCCAGACCCACCAGGAAAAAGTTGCTTGGTGATAGTTATAAAGACTTGGCTAGAAGAAACATTAAATAAGTCACCAAACCACAAAGGTGATCTAACACAATGCAGAAACTGGACCACAAGGTCAGTTTGAACCACATAGTTGATGATTCAAACTTACCAGTTGCTCCTTAGAAACCCTATACAGGGTTCCCTATAAGTCAAAACTGACTCGATGACACTTAGCAACAACAACAAAAATCATTAATATCACACACAAGAAAAATTTTGCTGAGTATGATTAAAAAAAAAAAAAAAGCAATGCTTGCAACAGTACCTATACAAGAAGCTGCCAGAAATTTAAGTCAATTTAAGTCAAATTCATAAGATGACATGGAATAAGGGATATCTTTGCTGGTATCAGACTGATCTTTGCTGAAACAGAGAGTACCAGAAAGATGTTTACTTGTGTTTTATTAACTGTGCAAAGGCATTCAACTGTGTGGATCATAACAGATTATATGTAAAATTGCAAAGAATGGGAATTTCAGAATACTTACTTGTGCTCATACAGAACAGTACATAGACCAAGAGGCAACAGAACAAATACTGTCTGGTTTTAAATCAGGAAACGTGAGCATTAGGGTTGCATCCTTTAATCATACTTATTCACTGTGTACTGAGAAAATAATCTAAGAATCTAGACTATATGAATAAGAATGTGGCATTAGGATTTTAGAAGAAGAGTCATTAATTATGTATTACATGCAGATGACACAATCTTACTTGCTGAAAGTAAAGAGGATTTCAAGAACTTACTGACAGAGATCAAAGATTACAACCTTCAGAAAGGATCACAACTCAGTGTAAAGAAAACAGAAGTCCTCACAACTGGAATACTATGCAACATCATGATATATGGAGGAAATATTGAAGTTGTCAAGGATTTAATTTTATTTGGATCCAAACTCAGCACACATAGAAGTAGCAGTGAAGAAATCAAATGACATACTGCATAGGGAAAATCTGCTATACCTCTAAACTATTCAAAAGCAAGATGTCACTTTGAGGCCAAGTTCAATAAATTTGTCTTGGAAGAAGAATAATTTGAATGCTTCTTAAAATAGAGGATGGCTAAGTTGGTCTCATGTATTTTGGACATATTATCAGTAGGGAATAGTTCCCGGAGAAGAACATCATAATTGCTAAAGTGGAGGGTCAATGAAAAAGAGGAAGACCATCAACAAGATGGACTGACACAGTGGTTGCAACAATGGACCCAAACAGCAGTGATTGTGAGGACGGTGCAGGACCAGACAGTACTTCATTCTATTATACATTGGGTCACTAAGAGTCAGAGTGGACTAGACAGCACCTAACAATAACAAAGCTGACAAAGACCCCTGCCCTCATGGAACTTGCATCCTAGTGGGAAAAGATACAATAAGTAATAAATATTGTTTTTAGTTGGCACTGAGTGGACTCTGACTCATGGCAACCTTCTGTATAACAAAGAATTGGAAGGTTGCCTAGTCCTACCTTCTCTTCATGATTCTGGGTAGACTGGGGGCCATGGTGGCTGCTGTGTCAGCTCGTCTCACTGAGGGTTTCTCTCATTTTTGTTGGTCCTCTACTTACCAAACATGGCATCTTTTCCTAGTAATTGGTCTTCAAAAGTGCTATTGAGAAAAGAGAATTAGAGCAGGGAAAGGGTGATAGGAAAAATTAGGGTTGTAATTTTTAAATATTGTGATCTGAATAGGCCTATTACCCTCCAGGCTCATCCAAGCTATGAACTGCAATGACATTATGTTGAATGAAATAAGTCAATCATAGAAGGACAAATATGAGACAATGATTATAAAGAGGAGCTGTGATAGCATAGTAGATTATGAGCTGGGCTGCTAACTGTAATAAGGTCAGCAGTTCGAATCTACCAGCTGCTCCATGGCAGATGAGACTTTCTCCTCCTGTAAACATTTATAGCCTCAGAAACCTTATACAGGGTCACTATGAGTTGGGATTGACTTGATGGTACAAAACCACCACCACGATTATCAAAAGTCAACAAAAAGTTTCAGACTAGCAGAAGCATATTTTGATGGTTACCAAGGGTGGGAAGGAGAGAGAGAATAAATCACTAATTAGATTTGACCTGGGTGAAGAGGAATGTCAACAAACTATAAACAATAAACCCACACTTAAAATATATAACAATAAAAAGAAAACAATGAAGATGAGGGTCTATAATTAGGCAATGCATTGTATAGTACAGACTACATGTGTTATACTCTTATTGGTAATTGCAATATTGACAATATTTGTCTGGTTTCTCAGAGCGAAGCATTGTTATTTTCCATTTTATACACTTCTTCAGAGTAAGTAAGTTGCCAAGTAGTTAAAACAACAACAACAAAAGAATAAGCCTATTGCAAAGCTGACAACTGAACAAAATCTTGAATGGGGTAAGGAACGTAGTCATGGGAAAATAAATAAAAGGAATTCCTGGAGATGGTGCAAAGCCTGTGGTAGAAAGAGTTCTGATGTGTGGCCAAGGTTGGCTGAAATTGGGGGAAGGAGAGAGAGGGGTAAGTTGTTAGAGAGGAGAGCTGGCAGTTAACAGCAGGGGCACATAGGGCCTCAAAGACCATGCCTTCTGCTTTAAAAGTAAAATGAGCAGAGTAGGGATATGATCTAACTTACAGTTGATAAGGATCTCTGTGGCTGCTATACTAAGAATAGATGGAATTGTCAGATTCTCATCAGAACCTGGTAGGATAAGCACTGGACTGCTAACCAAAAGGTCTAACCAGTTCAAGCCCAGCAGCTGCTCCTCAGAAACCTTATACATATTAAACAAACATATCACCTACTCCCTGTTCTGGACCTCTGTTAGTAACTGTTGCGGCAAGACTTCATCCCCATCAGCATCCTGGGCTTCTGTGGTGGCTGCAGAGTCATGACTGGAAGAGACACAGGTAGCCAGTCCCTCCCTCCCTCGCCTGGCTTTCCCCTCCCTAAAAGGAACTCTCACTATCCTAGCTCTTGGCTTGCTGGGAGCAAGTTGACTTTCTATCTATCTTGGAGTCTTACTATGTCTATTTCTTTTAGTCTTTCTGAATCTCTCTCTTTCACTCCTTTTCTCTCTTTGTTTCTACCTAAATTCCAGAATATGGTAACAGGAAGGCCAGAACTAGATGGGATGTGATTGAGGACTATAAGTTTCATAGTCATCACATGAACCATAATCATCCTCATGTTGTGCTCTGTCCACCCTCACTCTATGCTAGCAGCAGCAGGGAGGGGATGGGAGCTGTGGGAAGCAGAGGAGCTATTCTGGTGACAAACTCCACTGTCCCAGAGAAAGACAGATACAGGTGTGATTCTGGTCCAACAGGCTCTCCCAGACAGACTATCAAGCTGTCGGGACTTAATTGTAGTCTTGAAACTAAAGGAGGCACAGGTATTAATTCGTAGGAGGGTGTGGTTTGCTGGGAAAAAGAACTTGCAGCAGGTAGATATGAGGATCTACCAGGGCACATTCCAAAGAAAAACATGAAGGATCTCCTTGAGGTTGGGGAGTTGATGAGATACTATTCAGTCTGGTCAAGAAATTTTGGGACTAACTCTAAGCAATTGCTTCAGGAAGGGGCTTCTTATTTGTCCTTCAGTGTTTACATTTAATGATACATCTTAGAGGCTCTTTATGGTGTTGCTGTGGGTTAATGTGCTGGACTGCAAGATTGGTTTGAACTGCAAGGTCGGCGGTTCAAGCTAACCAGTCGCTCCTTGGAAACCCTATACAGGGTTGCTATGGGTCAGAACTGACTCGACAGAACTCAACAACAACAAGCAAATTTTGAACCTCTTGTTTTTCAGCGCTCTAATTGTAGTGCATGGTTACTTATATGTTTTCATCTCTCAGGTTTTTTTCTCTCTTTCTCTGTACATGCTGTATTATCTGACTTTCCCACTAGACTGTAAGCTCCATGAGGACAGGAACCATGTTCATCCCATTCATGTTCTGTCTGGCCTCTCATGCACAGGAGGTACTCACTAAACGTGTTTGAATGAAGACATGCTGAAACCTGAGGTCTGGAGAACTCATGCTGTGTCTATTGGCCGGTCTTGGAGCAGGCAGTCAGTACAGGTGGTTTGGCTTAGTCCCACTGGGTATCATAGGGAGAGGCCCAGGTTGCATGGAGAATGGTAGTGTGGGCAAATGGAGGGGTCAGGAGGAAAGTGACCAGGGAAAGCAGTCTCCCTATAGTTGGAGAAGGAGTTGAGTGTTTAATAACATTTACTTGGTGCTTTCTGGGGTCAGATTCTATGCTGGACAGTGGTATGTGATTTACTTTAATCTTCAAGAAAACTTGGCAGTAAAGGAATTGCTATTCATGATGACAGCTGAGGAAACGGAGACCCAGTTTGGAGAAGTTAGGTGACTTTTCTAAGGTCACAGGCAGTTATGCGGAGCCAAGCTGCAAGTCACACCGAGGTATATTTTATTTTAGATCCAATGTGATTTATACCAACAAAACTGGGCTGCCTGATGGGTTATCAATGTTCCCTTTAAAAATGTATGACTATATTAGCTCTGGGGTCTTGATATGATGCTGTAAGATACGCACTGGACCGCAAGGTTCAAACTCACCAGCTGTTCCTCAGTAAACCCTATACAGGGCCACTATGAGTTGGAACCGACTCGATGGCACTTAACAACAATAATATATTAGCTCTAACCTGGAAACTACCCAAATGTCATCATATGATGAATGGATAGACAACTTGTGATTAGTCATGTAATGGAACACTATTTAGTAACAAAACAAAACAAATAATTAAAAACCTGAAAGGGGAATGGACTAGTGATACACACAACAGCATGGATGAATCTAAAA